CAAGTTCAGGGCCCCAAACAGCTCACTACCCTATGGGCGCTGTGCTTACTGACCATGCGTGACCTCTGACCAGGGACTGCAGGCACAGCCGAAGAGGGGAAACAGGAACAGACTAACGTCAAGAGTCGGGTGAACTGAAACGAGCAAGGCACTGGCTCACAGCCTCAATACGCGCTGCAGAGACCCGCGTCTCCTGCCCGCCTGCGCCTGTGCTGGTGTTGCTTCATCACCCAGGACTGAACCTGTTTACAGCCTTTAACAGAATTTTAAAAGGCTGACTGTCAGGGGACTGAGATGGGCGATGAGGGGCGGGGTGAATGGGCTCCTCCTTTCTCCCAGCTGTGTTCGTCTTCCTCTCATTGATGCGGCTAAATCAGGTGTGCAGGGGACCATGGGAATGTGTTTCTGGCTTGGGGACCATAAGCACCTGTGAAGCCTCACAGCACAGGGCCCCTAAGGTCTAAGTCAGGGAGTTTTCTGACTACCTGCACTCCCTATAAGGAGGCTAAGTTCTTGCTAGTTGGTGAGCAGAAGGGTGGAGAGCAGAGGTTGTGCCAGGGACAGAGCTGGGGCTGGAAGTAGCAGTTGCGAGAGTGGCAGACATTTCCCATTGTCTGGGAAGGAGGAACACTGGGATGACATTAGCCACCTAATTTTCTGAGGGGTCCGGCAAGGGTGGGGCTTTCTTGGGGGCCAGAAGGACCCCAGGAACTGGCCTGCTGCCCCCGCCTACCCCCAACACTTCTGGATGGCAGAAGCCAATCACCAGGCCAGGAAAAGGCACCGCCAATGGCACCAGGACACCTGTTCCCAAGCATAAGACCTCAGGGCCACGGAGCTCCACACCCCTTCCCCCCTTACACACACACACTTTTGTTCTCCACAGATGAGGAAGCCAAAGACCTGACGGGCAGGGACAAAACGATGAAGTGCAAGGATGGAAAGTAGATAACTTCGCCCCACCTTTACTCAGGGAACAAACTTGGTTCCAGAGAGCATTACAGAAAGGACCCTGGGGCTGGCTGGGGGCGGAGCCAAACTACAGGAGGAGGGGCCAGAACAGCTCAGAACTAGGTCTGAGCGGGACCTCTGGGGCTCGCACCTCAGCTGCCCTTGTGCTCACAGACAGAATGCCAGGCTGTATGAGACCCACACACACAGGCCCTGATCTCAGATGGGCAAGCACAACGTGGTGATGTGTCAGACAACAGTGAGGCTTCTTGCCAAGACAAAACACAGAAAGGCCTATTATTTCAGCTGTGTTCCAAGTCCGCATTCCTCCGAGCGGGCGCAATGGCCGTGGCTGAACGGCCCTCATAGTTAATGGGAAGAAGGTTCGGAATCCTGACAGTTACTGGCTTGGGAAGCCAGTAATGTAATTCCAGAATTTCCTATGTCAAGCTCCGGCTGGCCATCAGTTTATGCCAAGTACCAGAATTCCTGGGGGCTGGGGGGCACTGTTGGGTGAGGGGAGACTGTAGACTACAAGCTCGCCCTTTCAGATCTACAGAGGTCACACAGGGTCGCTATGTATGGGGTGGAATGGACTCAGAGCCCACAGGCTTGGTTTGGGTCAGAATACCAGGAGAGCCGGCTGGCTCTCAGACCAGTAAGCTCAAGGTCAGCCATTCGACCCGCCAGCTGCTCCTCAGGAGCGGATCTCGGAAGCCTTAAGGAGCACTCTCCCTCATCCTCTAGGGAGGCTTTGCAATGCTTTTTTCAAAATCCCCGGAGTCCACCATTCTAGAGCTCCTCTATCTCATACAAAGAACCTGCCCCCCCCCCACCAAAAATGACTCCCAAACCCACAAGCAAAGGGAAGCCCGGTAGTTTGCTGGAGCCAGCCTCCCCTCATTCCACCCCAGGGGGGGCGTTACAGGGAGATGCTGGCACCTGGCCTAGAGGAGCTGCCACAGCTGCTGCACTGAGCATGACCACCATGACCATGGGTGACAGCCCCCTACACACACACACACACAGTGCACTGTGGTTTCAGAGGAGTAGTTTCATACTCATCAGGACTAAGGCCAGCTCCACCCACTACAGACAAGCACAGTGACTCCCAGGGCATGCTGCCAGTGTGAGGGTGCCGCCCCTGACACCAAACCGCTGCTCCAGTGAAACCCACTGGCCTTCAAGCAGAATTCCAGATGGCAGCTGCCCTCTGGTCTGGTGCAGACAGACCCTGGGCTCAGACCTGTTTTGGGAGGTGTGGGCATGAAGGTGTCCTCATCTGCAAGGCCCTTTGTGCTTTGTGATAATTGTAAACTTGAGCTGAAGCGTCCATCCACACAGTCTAGCTCCAGAACACATGCTGACTGAAAATGCTACACTGGTGCTCCAGAAACCCCAATACAAAGGTCAAAAACACGGGCAAATATGGTCACTGAAGTGATTGGCTACAGAAACTAGTTAGATCTAGAGAACAGAAACAGATATTACTGAAACACAACTCCAAAAGAGAAGAAAAAAAAAAGGTGCATGACACCCCCCCCACCACTTCATTCAGCCTTCGTTGGGGTGATGTGAACAGGAACTTGACGGTAACTGTGACCAAGGCCCGATGACATGCAGGCATTGTCATCTACACACCGCCTGCTTAGCACTGCTCAAGTGAGAGTGATGGGGAACGTTCAAAAGGGATGTTGGCAGACACTTGTCCCTTCTCAGTTCTCGTGGAGTCACTAAGCCCTGGGCCCAGGGTTTGAGCCATTGGGCAGGTGTGCCTGAGCTGTGACGGTGGTCCATCAACAACTGTCTTATCTGTAAATGTTGCCGTGTCCCGTGTGCGCGTGCATTGTCGGTTGTGTGTGGGACTGCTAACCAGTCAGGAGCTCTGCCCTGTCCTGTAGGATCGCTAGGAGTCAGAATGCACTCAATGGCAGTAGGAGAGGTGGGACTGTCACTATACTCCCTGAGCCATCGCGCCCTGGTTTCCACGTCTGGATCAGCAGCTCCTTGAGGACCTCCGTGAAGACCGGAGAGGCCACTCACTTTGCACAGTGTCTGATAAACAGCATGCTCCCCCGCCAGGGCTGGTCACCAGTGTCACATTAATTCTGTCTTTAGGATGCATTTTCAAAACACAATGAATGAGATGAACAGACGATAACAATGCACTATCTCAATGTGTAAAACCCAAACACCAAACTCACTGCCATTGAGTATATGCCGACTCACAGTGACCCCAAAGGACTCAGTAGAACGACCCTGTGAGTTTCTGAGACTGTAACCGTTTAGAGGAGTAGAAAGTCTGACTTTCTCCTGTGGAGTGGCTGGTGGTTTTGAACTGCTGACCTTGTGGATCGCAAGAGACTCAGGTGTCAGAATGCAATGAGTGTGAAATGTTGCTGACATGCTGAACAAGACATGACTGTCCCTGAACGATCGGGCAGGAATGGTCACACGGGAACCTCCTTGGCCGTGTGAATGTCAACTACTCCAAATGAAAGCAGTGAACCCCCAGGGAGATAATTTTTCAAGAAGTCTCAGCGTGAGAACCAGCGTTCTCTAGGCTGATCCTGGGCAAAAGTGCCCCTTGTCGAGTGTGAGAGTGGGCTGTGTGTGGGCTTGTCACCTGACCTCGGTGGACTCCTCCTGCTCGTTGATGACGAGGAAGGCATCCTCTGCAGCTTGCCGCTTGACGTCTGCGATGGTCTGCTCCATCCGCGCCCGCTCCGTGGCGATCACTTCGAAGGCTTTCTGCTCTGCCTCGGCAACAGCCTTCTGCACTTCCGACATGGCCTGGATTTTCACCTTGTTCACAGCTTCTTCTAGAAGAAAGTAACGGTACAGTCAACTGGCCGAGAAATGGTGTCCCTTGCCTGCATCACTTCTATGGAGGGACATAGCTGAGACGGAAACGCATGCTGATGAGCACATGATGTGTGCCCTTCTTCCGGTGGCACACCGTTTTCCTGGGGGTGCAGACGGAGATGGGCACTGTACGAGGGGCTGGGGACGCAGATGAGCCAGAGGCAGAGTCCATGTGGTCATTACTGTTCAGCAGTATAAAGGAAAGGTGTCTTAGAGACCGTGAGCCAAGGGGGCTTCAAAATGTTTATGGGAAAATGGAACTGAAAGACAATAGACATTTTCTATGCACATGTGGAAGCCCCCTTGTGTATCCTGAGTGTGGGACGTGGACTGGCTCTAAGAGCCCCCTGGAAGTTCAGATCAGCCAAGTCACTTGATAGGCAGCTTGGAAGATGTGGGAGACAAACTGGAGAAGGCAACAGGCCCAAAGCTCAAATCAAAGGTTAACAATCTTGCCCCTACACTATGTTCCAGGCTCCCACAAACTGAGAGTACACAAACAGCCCAGCAGACACATACCAGTTTTCTTCCAAAACTCCACAGGTACATATCCTGTTCCTGGCCTGCTGCTGAATTCCCGCTGGGAATCTGCACGGTGAGAGAGATATAGAATGGAGTAAGACACCTTTGTAATCAGCATGCTTTCTTGTCATGAAGCAATGAACCATAAGATCTCCCATTCACCACTTAGAAAGAGGCAAGCATTTATATTCATGTAGTGACAAAAATATTCTGACAAAGGACATAATCAATTTATAGAACAGTACACTCAATTACTAGTTTTCAAAAAGACACACTCTCATATAGTTAAAAATGCTCATCAGTTTCTTCTTTTTGCTTATCAATATCCTCATTTTTCCTGATGAACATACATGTATTTCTAGGGTCTGCCCCCAAACCCCAGATATGTATGTGTTTGTCTGACCTCATTGATCACGCATAGCCCTGGACAAGTGCTCTGTGGAGATGTCACGTACTTTTGTTTCTTGGCAACTTGGAAGGTCACTTAAAGTCTCTTAAAATTCCAATAAGCTAACTTACTGGAAAAAAGAAAAAGCAAGTAGCAAAGAACTACGCACAGTACATCTCCAAATGTACCTGAAAATGCTCCTGAGGAGGGATAGGTTATACAGATCTCTGCTTAGATAGGATACATTGTTTTAAAATAAATGGTTCTATTGCTTAAACAGTTTGAAAATAAGTCCGTGTCAGACTAGTTTCTTTGTAGTTGTTAAAAAAAAAGGGGGGGGGATTAAAATATATATAAAATGTAGGTTGACCACTTGAAATATACAATTAAGGGTCAGTTAGTACATTCATATGTGGGACAACCCCCACCCCCCACCCCCTGCCCAGACAGTGGGATCTCTGTAGAGACTACATTGTTTAAATGGCTCTGGGTGTATACAAGCACTGGAGGAGGAAGGATCACTTGTTTCTCTGACAGAAGTATAAAGTGAGACGCACTACACTGTAAAGGAGTTTGGTGGTTTTTGCAAGACAAGTTTGGAATTCTGGAATCTAGGAACATTCTCATGCTTCATCTTGAAGTCAGATGAACTAATTTGACAAATATTTTAGATTTTACAAGAAACCCTGGAGTTTGGATCACCTCCTTACCTCCTGGAAAGCTACAATTTATATGTGTTACATGCTACAAAATAAAAAATAAACCCTGGAGACCGTACAAAACACACCTTTTACACCACTGGCCTGCACTATGAAAACAAACAGCAATTGTTCCTATGCTGTCAAAACCACCATAGAGTATGGATTAAGTTGACACAACGTTGAAAGTCTTGAGTTAAGTCTTGAGTTGGTTCTGATTGATATACTGTGTATGAGAACCAAACACTGCAGCTACTATGTCAATCTGTCGCCTTGAGGGTTTTCTTTTATCAATGACTTACTATTTCACCAAACAAGATTCACTTTTCTGATAACATGTGCAAAGCACGGATATTAAGCCTCGTCATCCTCACGTCTAAGGAGGACGGACTTCCTCCAAGACAGATTCATTTATTTGTCTGCTAGTCGATGGTACTTTCAATATTCATTGCCAATACCCCAATTCAAAGGCATCAATTCTGTTTTGGTCATAACTCACTGCCCAGCTTTCAAACAGACACGGGGTGACCGAGAAGAACGCCCTGACCGCGGGTCAGGGATGCCTCTCACTTCACAGTGACACCTTTCCAATTCACACTTTACAGGTCTTTCCCAACAGATGTGTCCAGTGCCATCAACCCTCCCTATGACTTCTTGGCTGCTGCTTCCAGGAGTATTGCGTGTCAACCAAATGAAAACCGTCTAGACAACTTTCGTCTTTTCCGCTGGTCCATGAGTGAGCATTTTTGTCTTCTTATGCTGATGGGTAACCCCTAAGGGCTGTGGTCTTCGATCAATCGGCACTAGTGCAGGTTTCAAGTTCAAGTTCTCCCCTCTCTCCTCCAGGAAACTTGTGTTAACGGCATAGCTCAGGTAATTAGTGAAGGCTTCCTCTCTCTGCAGTCCTACAGGCACCTTCCTTTCATAGAGTCCTTGATTATCTGCTCACTGTACAGACGGAGTAACCATGGTGAAAGGAAACGACCCTAATGCACACCTTTTCTGATCTTAGACCATGCAGGGTCCCCTCCGTCTACTTAAGTGACTGCCTCTTGGTCTACGTATAGGTTCTGAATGAGCACAATTAAGTGAACATTTACTTGCAGTATATTCATTGTAGGCCTCTCAAGTGTGGGAAGTCAAAGGGTATATTCTGGGAGAGTAAAAGATTCTTGAAAGGATAAAATTATACCACGTTAAATGGAAATTCTCAGACAATGGCATTATTGTTCAGTTCCTAGCAGATCAGAAGTATGTAAAACTTTCTCTCTTCTAGAGTAGCCTCACCCCTCCTAAAAGTGGTATCAAAAATCCTCAGGAAGGATGGTGGGGAGTGAAGGCAGATCCCTTCAGAACCTGAAGTCTGATTGATCCGACAGCTTCAGCAGCTTATCTCATGGGGTCTATGTTTTTCTCAGTGAAAAATATGACTTCAAGAAAGGCAGGAGGCACCACAATGCCAGGGTCAGGTCTGCATGTGTCGATATAAGCCAAGTTATCAAGCATACTTCAGAGCAATACTACATAAGTTACGCTAAACCACTACCGTATATACTCGAGTATAAGCCGATCAGCAGAGGCACCTAATTTTACCACAAAAAATGGTATTAAAAAAAGTGCCGAAAAAACTTGGCTTAAAAACAAAAACAAAACAAAAAAAACACTTGGCTTATAATTGAGTATATACGGTATCTCTAAAATCTTTCTTTAATACACAGGAACTGGCTAGCCTCAACTCTTCAAAACTGTCAATACACAACAAACAAACGTCGGCACAATTATAGATTAAAGCTGACTAAAGAAAAAAAAAAAAAGCGGACTAAAGGCGTTAAGAAGGAGCCCTGGTGACATAAAGGGTTACACGCTGGGCTGATGGCTGATAACATCAAGATCTTTGGTTCAAACCCACCAAGTGCTCAGCAGGAAAAGATGAGACTTTTTGCTCCTATGAAGATTTTCATAGTTGGGAACCCCACAGGGGCAGCTCTACTTTGTCCTATGGAGTCACTATGAACCAGAATGGGCCCTATGAAAGTGAGGTGTTTTTTTTTTCTTCTTTGTTTGAGTAAAAATCATAAAAAGAAATGGTATTGAAACCACTGAGTTTTACATGGTACTTGCATTATAGGTAAACAAACTGTTAAAAAAAAAAGACATGGCAATGAAAAGAATCACATGCTCCTTGATTAGAAACAGAAAACTATAAAAATCACAATAAGCAACAAACCTCTCAACAAAGTCAAATTGGGAAAGAACAGTCTATTAAACAAATGGTGTTAGAAAAACCAGATAGCCACATGCACAAGAATTAAACTGGACCCCTGTCTCACATAATATGCAAATTAACTAAAAATAGGTCAGAGGCCTATATATATGAGCTACAAATACTAAACCCTTAGAAGAAAACATCGGCAAGAATCCTTGTGGCTTTTGATTAAGAACCATGTTCAATGGTTTCTTGAACATATAACAAAGAGCATATGCAACAACCCCCCCCACAGAGTTCAAGTTAAAGCTTGTGTGCTTCAAGGGGCATGATTGAGAAGGTGAAACACAACCCACGGGACGGGGGAACAGGTACAACAAACATACCTAGTAAGGGTGCTAAATGATGCAAATACATGAAGAACTCTTACATCAGAAAGGAAAACACCAGCACCACAGTATATAAATAGGCCAAGGACCTGAAGAGACATGTCTCAAATGGACATACACTAAATGGCCAACAAGGACACGAGAAGATGTTCCACGTGTTCAGCTACGAAGGAAGTGCAAAGCAAAACCACAATGAGCCACCAGTCCACACCCTCCAAGACAGCTACCATCCAACAGACAGCTACGAACTAACTGCTGGTGAGATATGAAGAAATTGGTACCCTTATACTCTGCAGGAGGGGGGTGGGGTGGCGGGATATAAAATGGGGCAGCTGTTTTGGAAAAGTCTGGCAGTTCTTCAAGAGGTGAAACAGAATTCCATCTGACATAAGTACAGAGCCGAGAGAAATGGGAACGTGGGATCTACACAAAATCCTGTACTTGAAGGTTCATAAAAGTGTCCATAATGGCCAAAATGTAGAAACAGAATGTCCACTAGTTGAGGGAATAAAGTGTGGCTAGTCATCAAGATCAGGTAAAATCTGATTTTGATGAGTTTTAACTGATTGATTCTGACTCATGGTTCAACTGACTTTGGAAGCACATAGCCTGGTCTTTCTTCAGAGGCCCGTCGGAGTAGGCCCACACTACCACCTTCAGCAGCAGTCAGGCCACCAGCAACTATGACTCAGCAGTAACTGATGTTTGCGACATCCCGCCATGTCCAGAATACACGAAACTGAAATGTAGATGTAAGTGTCTCGGGGTGTAACCTAAAAGTCTAAGAACAAGCCATAAAGGAAAATGATAACTCTGAGACGTCAAAACAAGTCTAAGTCAAGTGAACAGCAGACTCTGTTTTCCATGCTCTAGCAAGCAGTCTTAGGGCTAAAATTATAACCTAAAGGAAAAATGCAATACGTTTGAAAAGGCCTCAAGATTTTGAACAACAAACTGAATGGCTTGAGGAAATGATAATACGGTAGAAAACAATATAGCCATTAAAATTATGTTACTGACAGAAGGAGTCAGGACGGCGCCCAGGGAAGCAGCACATACTGAGAGCTCCTTGGCGTGTGTGCGGCAGGCCTGGTGTCCAGGAGGACTAGTGGGAGGGCTCTGGACACTGTTAGTTTGCCTACTTATATAAGACAGGCATGGGACACAAGCTTGGGGAGAAAGCAACGGGATCAACCTGGAGGGTCTTGTGGGGAGAAGGTGGTGGGGAAGGGTGGGGTGAGCCAACAATGCCACAAACGGGAACAACTAGGGAATTAAAACCAACAATTGTAGAGATCGTATGGTTATTAGAGCAACAGCGACATAGCTGAGAGGAAGTACTAAGAGGTGGAAGAAGGGGGAAAGTGATGGTGGAGCAGGAGGAG